TCCCCAAAACCCCAAAACCCCAAAACCCCTTTTGGATTACAGCTTTGTATTTTATAAATTTTAATTGACGCTCAAACCATGGGAGGGAAGAAAAGTATGGTGAAATTACTTGCATGAGTCTTCAGTTAGAATGACATTCTAACCATAATCTACTTATTTAGAGAAGAAGAATGACGAGATTGAAGAATACAAGAAGCAATTCTCCGAAATTGTCAAACCATTACTAGGCTCAGAATCAATCGGCCAAGATCTTGCAAAGGAAATAATTGAGAAAACATTTGAAAAGATTGAAATGGCCTCTTTAATGAAAAGAGTCGCACCTTATGGCATTGAAGCAGCTTTACAATCTACAGCTTGTCATTTCTTCTTTCAAGATAGAAAGCAAGATGACTGCTACCTTGAAGAAGACTTTGAGCCGGTATTTACTCTTGGATTATCATCTAGAACAACTTAGGTAATGATTGTTTTATTCCAAACAAATGAAAAGTTATCATAAAGCAAGAGACTTACACAAATGTTGTACTTGATAGCTTCAGCGAATTTGGTATGTCCATATCCTTAACCATAGACGCATTTTCTCAGAGCAATTCTCCCTCAAAGAAGATGTCGACAAGGTCTGGAAGAACTTTCCGTGAAAGGCCAAAAATACACCAAGATACTAAAAAGACTAATCTTGAAGTACATTATACCTCAAATTTTAGAAAATTAATAATCAGGTTGAGCTAGACCCCAAGGATTTACCAGGCTACCATGATTATAAAGACAATATCACCCATGAAGACCTTGACAACCTCAGAGATACTGTTGACAGACTTAAGAAGAGCAAGACCAAAATGGCGAATGAACAGAAACTTGAACAAGAGCGAAAAAAGAAGGATCAGAAGGAATTTGAGAAGAAAATAGAGGGAGGGAAACTGACCTATGACCACACAGGAAAACTCCTCTCCATCCGTAAAATCAAAGCAGAGAGACTTCCTGTTGATTTTAAACAGCTAATGTCTCATTCTATGATTAGGTCAAGGAAATCTGCAGAGAAGGGTAAAAATTTAAAAGTGAAAAAGAAGCCGAACGATACAGTTGAAGAATCTTCTGAGGAAAATAAAGGTATTTTGTTGCATAAACCCCTTCTAGATTTTTCTCTGATTCAAGCTTATAAAGATACTAAACTTGTGAAGAAACACCTTAATTCGACATTTGACCAGGGGAATGACAATAGTTCCATGACAGTCAATCCCTCTGATGGAGTAGCTATAATTCCTGATGTGAGAACCCAGGAGAAGGTCCAAGGAAAGCCTTACAAGGAGGAGCTGAGGAAATTCCAAAATGAATTCATGGAGAACAGAGGCCAAAGACATAAGGCTCAGATTGAAGAAGAAAATTTAGAAATGGCCGAGAATAAGGAGATTGATTCACATAATCCCAATGGAAATAATAACTCATTTGATTTGAGTATTGACTAGCATTAACCTATAGCCTCTGATCATTTAGCCCAAGAAGATGGCATCATAAAGGAAGAATTAAGATCAAAGCCTTCAACTAGATCTAATAGTGTGCGTAACTCGAATAAGTCAACCTTCAACTCAAGAGTGGAGACTAACCGTTCTCAGCTACAAACTCTAAAGAAAGAATTTAGCTCAATATCTTCAAATTTGAATGCGCTAAATCTCAAACAAAAATTAATGAATTATGAGGTGAATAGTTCTGTAAATACCCATTTTGTGGGTGGAAATACGTCAGCAAAGACGAGTCTGATTCTTCCACCACTGACTATTGGGAATATGCAGAAGACTATTGACAACAGAACTACTAAAAATCAATCAAGTAAGGTCTCATATTTACATATTCTAGTGAAAAAGAATAAGATCACTTTTAGAAGCATTGGAGATGACTTCGGAAATAGTGGGAGTAAAACTAGAAGATCAAAGGTATCAATCAAATCAAGTAGAGTGTAAATATAAACTTTTAGACATAAAAGAAAGAATCCTTAACATGTCTGGCCCTAGATCTAAAATTACCAAAATAGAGGCCTCTGAAGATCAAGGAAATCAGACACTTCCTGATATCTGTAATTTCTTTACCTAATTTATTAGCACTTGCATCTGCTAGAACAAATCCGCTTGCTAAAATGCCATCAAGGATCCGTAAAAGTAATCCTTTTGCTTACTTTTCAGATTCCAGTTCCATAAAAATGAGTATCAAAAATTTACCTTTGACAAAGAAGACCAAAAATCAGATAAAGTTTTTGAAATCACTGGAGAAATCCCAGACTTTGGTAAAGCCAAAGTTAAGAAATTCCCTCAAGAATTACGTTTAACCAAGTTCAACTGGGTTATTGACCTAAGGGGTTTTGGGGTTTTGGGGTTTTGGGG